AGAGGGAAGTAGCACAGCTACGCTAGCTTGACTTTGACAATGTTAACATGTAGATGTGCTGCAGAATTTGCTGTTATTTGGTGACCGACACACCAACTCTGTGACAGATCATCAGTAGAGCAGGAGTTCAAATCAGCTAATCAAGTTAACCTATCACAGCGATCATTCACAGGAAGTGAGAGAAAAGTAGAATAAAAGTGGTTTTGGGTTCATCTTCAACTGTTTCTCTGTTATTTTCCCTTTGCGGTGGTGCACTGCACTAAATTAGTAATACCTACAACTCCAGATTTCATTTTGTTTATGAAACCGTTCTACCACAGCAGCATGACTATGGATGACAAGTAAAAGATTCGACTTTTTACCCTCCAGCTTTTTGTACATGCACAAAATTTCTGGGTGTAAACAACAATGTGGAACGTGTGTGCACCAATAAACTTGACTTGACTTAAAGACTTATAACAAGGGTCTTCCTGTAAAGTAGAGCTACCAAATGTATCATGTTGCAGTCATTATTGCAACATCATATCATACAATATTGCAACCGGAATGGACTGCCTCTATACAATATTTGGTAGGCTATAATATGATGCAATGCATGAAAACTCTGCCTGCCAGTAATGTATTAGGTGATGAAGACAGAGACAGGGAAGCTGGTTGGAGTTGATGGGACGACGGATGATCCTAAACACAGGAAAAACCTTGAAGAAAACCTGTTAGAGGCTGGAAAAAACTCCAGACTGGGTTGGTGTTTCACTTTCCAACCGGACAACAACTCTGCACAACCAGAACTACAACGGAATAGTTTAGATCTAAGAATATTTTAGTATGAAAACGGCCTATAGTCAAAGTCCAGACCTAACCAAAGTACAATTCTGCTGTAAGACTTGAAATCGATGTTCATAGGCATTCTCCGTCCGATCTGACTGAGCCTGAGAAATTTTTACAAAGAAGAAAGTGCAAAATTTTTATTTAGTCTTTAGAAGTCAAGGAACGTATTTTCCTTTCACTTCAGAAGTATGGATTACTTTGAGTTGCTCTATCACATAAAGTGCGGATAATCTGTGCAGTAAACACTGGCTGTCGAGAACATAAAAGGGAGAAGGAAGGAGCAAGAGTGAGGCGACACACTGAGCACTGACACACTGACCTTCCATAAGTTACAAAAAGAAGTGAGAGGAAGGAAAGTGAAAGAAGGCCGGAATAGAGGAGTAGAGATGAAAAGAGAAGACCAAAGGAAAGAGAAATTCAGAAGGGACTGGGTTTGGTGGGGTAGCAGAGCAAAGGAAGTAAAGGTGTTGAAAAGATTATAGGATTCAGAGGAAAGTAAAGGGGGGGAAAGTGAGAGATTATGAAATTAGAAAGGAAAACGGGTGAGGGGAAAAAAGGAGAAAGACTGGGGAAAGGAGGAAGAAGCAAGCAGAGCAAGTGACAGAGAGAAACAAAGGGAGACATGAAGTGAGGGAGAGGGAGGGAGAGGTGTCAGACGGAGAGATTAAAGGGAGAGGTGGAATGAAAGAGTGATGGGGGATGACTGCTGATGAATAATTGGTGGTGAGAACAGCGGAGCAGCGCCGCTCAGCCTCTCCCGCTTCGCCGGAGGCCTCGCAAAAACATCAAGCGCCGCATTAAAAATAGCAGCGATCATTTGAAAACGGCCCGAGGAAAAGCGTATTTACAAATAATTACTCCCAACATTTGTTTCATCCCACTTGGAGGAGCGGGGCGGGTGCGACAATATGACAGTTCAACACGGTGGGGGGAAGAAACACCACCTTTCTTTCCAAGCAGCACTTTTAACTCAGAGGGCGCCAGCGCGACACCTGCTGCGGCGATTGACACCAAGCTTCGTTCAGACAATTATCGTCATCTCGCCTTGTTTATGGATGTGCGCAGCGTGACTCCGGGACATTTAGGAAACTTTTTGTTGTTTTTACCAAACATTTCTCGGTTTTGACATGAATTATAAATGGAAAGTGAAGCGGATCATGACATCCTGACCTGCACCTAAAATAAGTCAACCCTGGGGCGTCGCGACTCGCGGTAGTTAGCTTAGCTTAGCGCAGGCGCCCCGTAAACGGAGGAGCTCCGAACAGGTATTGTGACTCTCGTCGGCACCCTTACGGTCACTAGTGCCTACAAAAATATTTTTTCGAAAGTTGTTCAACACGGTTTCAAACATGATTGAGCACTACATCCTCAGTGTAAAGGCTGAAATGATCAAAATTAGTCAACCCTGCAGCGTCGCGTGACCCAATAGTTGCCCCCCTGCTCCAGCTCCAGTCCAGTCCTCAGCACCTTTTCCGCATATCTCTCCCCCCCTTCCGGTCGGGTTCTTGTCTAATAACTTAAAAACAAACTGTTCAGCCTTGTGTAAAATATAGGCTATTAAGCAAGATAGCCAGATTTAGCACTGCACCCTTTTTTAAAGTTTGAAATGATCAAAATTAGTCGACACTGGGGCGTCGCGACGCAGTTTATCGCTGGCGCCTCGTAAACAAAGGCTACCGACCTCCGCGCAGCAGTTTCGACCTCAGGTGCCGGGCATCTTGGTGAGGATACCTGCTTGATGAGAAGGTGTTCCAGGCACGTCACACTGGCACAAAACCCAGAGAAAAACCCGGGGACACTTCAGAGACAAACTCTGGTCTGGGATTCCCCCAGAGGAGCAGGTCCGAGGGAAGTCTGGGCTTTTCTGTTTCACCACATAACCCCATCCGGAATTAAGCGGAAAATAAAGGACGGATGGAAGGATTTTAATTGGCTTCAGTCTTAATAACCACCAAATGCAAGAGTGACAATGGTTTAAAGATTCATAGAATCATCGTTTTATGAGCTTGGAGCCGTTTGAAATGCTAGAAGTCGTCTATTGAAGTAAAGCGTTATCTACTGCAACCCCAGACCAGTCGGCAGAGACCCTCACATCTAATATCCTTAACTAACCCCTTAAATATGAAACCCAGACAGAAGGACACAGAGCAGTGGGTGAAATTTTCACATTTAATAATAGACAAAATGTTCTGTCATTCTTTTATGTACATCAGTAATTACAAGGTCAGTAAGCCATTCTCAAGTTTTACATGTTGTTCATCAGCTTTTAGTGATGCTGGTTTGCCTTACAGTGCCGTCTGACATACAAAATATGCTAATGTGCTGTAATCACATGATTAAAAGCCTGAATGGAACTTGCCTTAAATGAATTGAAAACTCATTCAAAAGTCATTCACAATACTTTCTCATTATTTACAAATAAAGAACAGCAACTGCTAAATTATACATATTAACAAACTACTTCCTCAATATATATAATGCCGCTATACAAAGAGACAGAGAGAGAGAGAGAAGAGGGTAATGCCTGATTTTACAATGACCCTATTGGGATGCTTTAAACCTGTGCATCGAAGCTTTTTAAATATGCATTAATGCTGCCAGTGTTTGACAAAAATAAATCTACTTGTACTGTTAAAATTAGACATTATTTCCATGACGATTTATAAATATTTGTCTGTACACTTCGAGAGGAAAACACAAGAGATTAGTGAGCGGAAGTAAGGCCAATGTAGAGGTGAGAGAGTTACCTGGCAGAGTTTGAGGCTCGGTAAGTGAGATCGATTGGAGGAAGCTGCCCATTTCTTCACACAAGCACCGAGGTGACAGCGTACAAGGTTCCTACACGTCCCCCCACCCCCAAACTCACACACACACACTCCATCCACCCCCTCGGATATTTAGAGCAGCTCGGGGGCCACTTCACACTTGGGTGGCCGCAAATGGTGGCGGGAGGTAATCGTGTGGAAAATCTGAACTTTAGGACTGGGGGAAGTCCTTTAACGCGACATCGGGAAGCGTTCGAACAGTAAAGTTCATGTTTTCGGTCAGGGCTGAGCTTCCATGTGTGATACTCAGAGGGAGAAGGTCAAGAGACTGAAGTCTTACAGATACCAGGGGATGTTTTGTGCTCTTTAGATCTGATTTGTTAAACTGATGATGCCTGAGTTGGCAAGGAAACAAATAAAATGAAGCTAAAACAACTTCCTGTGATACTAATTCATAAAAAAAAAAGAAAAAAGAAAAAAAGACATTCACAACTCTTATCGGCCAGCACATCACGGCAAGGTAAGAACTTGTGTGGGGAATCTGTTTTAGTAGCTGCAAAAAGTCTCCGCTTGCAGTCACTGTGCCATTCCCCCATGCAATATTTAAAACAAATCCATTGGTAAGATGTTGCGGGCCGGGTTCGCGTTGTTGTACACAAAGCAACGTGCAGTTTTCAGTTTTAATCTAAAAGCAACATAGCTAAAAAAGCTAAAAAAAAATTTAAAAAAAGCCTTGCCAGCTGGACAGACACATGCCATTTACCTACAGCTGGTCCACATAAATACCATCCACTGATCTACTGGTGGAAGCCTTCAGTCCACTGAACATCAACAGATTAACATTCAACCTGCTCTGGAAGGTGCAGTGGGGACGAACCAAGGAATCGACTGTTGGGGGAATCTGGACGATTTTTGGTTTGATTTGCTCCAACAGGTTAGCGCCTGGTTGGCTCAGAAATCTCTTTTTTTTTTTTCCTGATCAGTGATAAAGATTAAAAAATTGGTCTGACACAACTGTGGATGCGGTCAAAGTGAAGACAATTCAAAGTTACCGTAAGGTCAGGGGAAGCACAGTGATGTAAGACTTGTCCAGAAACGTCTGTGGCTCGTTTAGGGTGAGAGAGCCAGAATTTCAGCAGATAACAGGAAGGTGGAGCGGAGAAAAACAAAGTTACACTTTTTAAAAAATTTAAATCTTTTTGAGCTTTCAACTCATTTTCACTCTGCTATGGAACAAGCTAGACCTCGACGTCCTGGAATCCTTTTAGAAATTTGACTGCTAAGGCAAACATCCGTTTCTTTAGCAATGCTTGGTATGCTAACCGCTAGCCTAAAGCAAAAAACATTTAAGATGCTGAAAACATTTAAGATGTCAGTTCGACGTAGCCTTCCTGCTAATGAGTTCTTAAAGACAAATTAAAATTGCCAAGAAATCGGCAGCTTTTACCCCCTAAAAATTGGGGGGAAAAGTATCGGAAAAAAACAAGAAACTGGAAATTGATAATTCTGTTTGTTTCAGTTTTTGTTTGTTAATAATAATTTAACATTGTACCTGTTGGCATTGAACCAAAATATGAGTATTTTTTGAAAACATGGAAGAAATCTGACAATCCAACAGACTTGAATAAGATGGAAGAGTTGAGCTAAACCTGCTCTATGATGTTATGAAAAAAAAAAAAAAAACTTTTCATGACTTGGCAAAAAACAACAAAAACAGGTCTACTGAATCTGTGACTGGACTTGTTTTGCTGTGATAAACATTAGCCAGTAAAAATGCTTCAGTGATCCCAATTTAAGATGAAATTGACCAGCACTGCTCTACAGGTCTAACTCCAGCAGGTTGTTTCCCCCTACATTTTCCCCCAACTCAAAAAAAAAAAAAAAAAAAAAAAGAGTTGGAGGTGAAATGTCCAAGAGAATATTTCACTTACATTCCCCTATTTTCTTACAATGCATCTGAACACTGAGGCAACACAGCAGCTGACGGTAAATCTGAGGTCATATTTGATGCTTCTAGGTTTCATCAATGCCGAGAAACACGACTCCAAAACCAATCAGTGGATCACTTCAGACCGGCTCTGCTCAGCTATCCTAAAACCTGAGACTAAGAACATTTCATTTAGTTGTACAATCATTTAGGAGTTAAAAAGAGACACGTTTTAGTTGTTTTACTTCATAATAAATGTAGTAGGTGATGTTTGTGAAAAAAAACCCAACACAAACATAAGTGTGGTTTGGCGGTTACCAAGGTGCTGAAACTCAATAGTAAATAAACATGATTTGCTGCTGCTGTTGGACTCAAAGTCCTGCTAAAGCTGCAAAAGCCAGACAGAGCAATACAGGGGTCGGCCATCTTAGTGTCAGCAGGACATCACCCATTGTCATGGTAACCGGGCTGCGCAGGTTATCTTTATTCTGGTCGCCATCTATTACACACTACTGAATGTTTTTTTTTTTTTTTTTCCATTTTTCCGATTTGTAATAAATTAAGAATCTTTGATTTACAAATCAGTTTGTGAAAAGCGAGAAAGCGGTGACATTTTTGAATGACTTTGCAAACTCTGATATTAAACATCCAGCGCAGCAAAGCGGTGAAGGGAGGCCTCTGTTTTCTTAAAGACGGTGCAAAAAAAAGATCCAACAGTAACATGCATTTTATAACCTCTGCTTCGTTTTTGTGCATGTGTGTGTGATGTTGAGAAACTTTTGAAAACGCCACGGTTCAGCAGAAGCAGCAGACATGAACAGTAATTCCTAATGTTGCAATAAACGCTAAAAAAAATTACTTAGATGGAAATGATGAGTGGAGAGGGAAAAAAATAGAGAGAAAAAGCAAAAGCAGCAGATGTAGTGTTGACTTCTTAATGCTACAGTGACTGCTGGAGTTGCTGAGTGGAGTTGTGGGGCACTTTATAATTACAGAATGTCAACTTTGTTCATGGTTTCTGCTCTGACCTTTTCCCGCCGTTAAAAGTGCGCCCTTTAACCGACCACATCGACGCTCCACAGTTCTACGGCACCGAGCACATGGGAGAGCTAGCAACCAAACACAACAAGCTCTTTAGGGCACAACGCAGGTTATTAAACTGTTTCATAACGGCACTTTTCAGAGGGCGAGAAGTTAATAACCTTGTGAGGCGTAGGGTGGGGGGGGGATAGCGGGGATTTCTTCTACTGAATTATGTCTCTGTCTTCTGTCAGAACCCTGCAGGTGTTGTGGCTGCAGAAAAGATGACCATCAAGGAGGAAACCGAGAATGACAATGGAGCTGAAGGTAAAAAAAAATAAAGATAAATAAAAAAAAAGTGGAGATGCGATACAAAAAATATATCATCTCTGGACCAGGATGCAGCTGGACAGGTGACTGGTCAGTCAAAAGTTAAAAAAATCAGGTCCCTTCCGGTTCCGTGAAATGCTCCTTGGCAGCGACAACTAAAAATCTCTTCTGTGTTTTTGTTAACTGTTACCGTTTTTTAATCGGCATTAGAAACGGTGGATGGAAACGGCAAAATTTGGAAAACCTCTCTGGGTTTCGCAAAAAACTGAGGAACGTTCAAGCTAGCATTTATCGGAAAGCCCACAAAAAATGAGTTTTCCGAAAAAGAGCTAATGCACTAAAGGAGGAGATGGAAACAGATTTGCCGAATAAGTTCTAACATATTAAACTTTCCCATCCACTGCTGGGCCTTACCAGAAGCACAAAACTTGTAAGAATTTTAAAATCTGAACCTTCACCTAGGAGGGAAGGACTGCACCTTTTTCTGAGATGTGTGGTCTGTGCTAGCTAGCAGCCGCTACTTCCTGCTTATGACAGTTGTGGATAGCATCATCATCAGATTAAATTATGGCTAGCATAGTCTGGTTGATTCCCTCCAAACCAGTAGCTGGAACACGGCTAATCTGTATTTTCCTTTTCTTTTTTGCGACATTTCAAATGTTCGCTAGTTATTCGCATGCAAATTGGGTGGAAACATGGCGACTGTGGGGAAAAATACTCAGTCGTCCATTTTACGTAAAAGCAAGGTGTTTTCAAATAAAGCAGATATAAAATTCACTCAGGCTCCTGCAACAGAAATTAATAATTAAATTAATAATTTAGTAGATTTGTGCTTTTCATACAGGCTATTGTTGATGCAAACAGAAATTCAAAACAATAGCTGGTGTTTTTAGAGCTGCTGTATGAGTGAACCTGACATGGGAGACAAATTCAGCAGATTTCAGGAAGGCTGAAAATCTTAATCTTTCAGATCAAAGATTTGAGAAAAACAACCGTAGACTGGAAGTCGGCCTGAAGCGTCTGACCGATGCAACTCTGGTGAAAACAGCAGACGATCCGACGTCCAGATGGACTCACAACAATAACTACACTGGTGTGTGCTACAACCGGCAGAAGTTTTACTGATTCCTTTGATTCCCTCATTTTTGATTCTTTGAAAAAATAAAAAGTAGGCATAAACATTTATTAGTGCTATTTTCCTCTTTTAATTTAGTCAGGGGGTAGAGATGGTAGTTTTACAGCCTTACAGCTGTGCTAAATGATGTGTTGTCTCTTACTGAGGAATTTACATTTTTTTAAAGTATGTTTATTGGTTTATTTATTGTTCACTTTTTTTGTCATAGCAGCATCTTTATGTTTTTCATCGACAAATTTAGTGTTTTTAACCTCGGCTGGTTGAATCAGTGGAGTTTGGTGCCACGGCCTCCAGCTAGACTTTAACGGTTGTTTTCATTACGACTTTCTGAAAAAAGAATCTGAAATAAAATGTTGGGGTAAAATGAATCACTCAGCACATATAGAAAAACAACAAAGAAACGGAATAAGACATGATGACCACTCAGCTCCAATCGGTCTGGTACCGTATAAATCCTGGTCCGTCAACAGGAAGCCGTACACAACTGAGCAGCTGACTGAGCAGCTGACTAATCCTAATTCAAAGCAATGCATTTAGGATTTAGGATCAATAATTTGAACAACCGAGAGACAGAACTATTGGTCCGATTATGTTCATCACCGCTGGAGTTAGCTTTTAGGAGCCAGAACGTTTTTATCAGACGCCATTTTCTCATGTCCACAAACTACCGATGGATGAACATATGATTCGTTTCGCCGTGTGTGAAACGTTGGAAGCAGACTGGCAGGGCGGTGGCCTCTGCTGAGCTGACCCGAGACGGACAGAGCGTCTCCTGTCCTCTGTCCAGTCTGGTTCCAGGAAGGCGGCTCTGGATGGAAACGTCGGGCTTTGGCCACGCAGGGAATCATCCAAATGCGGTTCGTCGCCACCGGAAGGCTGCTGGATGTGCGGTTATGTTGCCCGGGGCGACCGGTCAGCGGCCTCGACTCGGTGCTTACAGATGGGTAACGACGCAGCTGGGGAAGCTGCGGGGTTTTTTCTTTTTTTTTTGGAGTGTGTAGTTTTCCAGTTTGTTCCTTCGATTCAAAGTGAAATAAAATAAAATAAAATTTAAAAAAAAGTAGAACAACAACAATAACAAAAAAATTAATAATTTAAATTAAAACATCAACATTTAGGGTTGCAGAGTCTCTGGAGGTTTTTTTTTTTTTTTTTTTTTAGAAACTACGAGACTGAGGATGTGCTGTAGCAGCGAGCCGCCTCCACTCCATCCAGTCCATGTCAACAAATGTAAAACGTGGAGGAAGGGGCGGAGTCAGCGTCTCCTCTGGTCCTCTCTCACCCCCACCTGAAACCCCCCACATCCCTCCATCTTTGAACCGGTCAGTTCTGGTACGAGGAGAGAGAGAGAGTGTAGGAGGGTCGGGGGGAAAACCTGCTGATCTCATCAAAATGTTCCAGTACTACGTCCCAGCATGCACCTCTCCCTGCCAGAGCGGAGCTGGCAGAAGTCTCTGAAGGAGGGAGGCTGAGCAGCGAGGAGGAGGGAGCGGGGCGGGGGGATGAAGAGCGTTGGGTGTAGGGTGGTGGTAGGCTCAGATGCAGGTGGACGGCTGTGCAGAAGGCTGCTGCTTGCGGCTCCTCAGACCCCCAGACTTCTCCTTGTAGCCCACGCACATCTGCTGGGAGACGTCGACCAGCGCGCTGGCCACCGCCAGACCTGCGCACACACACACACACACACACACACACACACCGGCGTAAACAGGTGAAGACGTACAGCGCTACATACGTGTCAGTTACATACAACGATTTGGAAAATCATTTACAGTCCTCGGTTGTTTCACATATGTTGCTTCATTGCCACCATAAATGTTTGTGATGTAAAGTTGCAGTTAAGTATTCATCTACAGAAACAACCAATCAGAGCCAGGGGCCAGGTCTTAACACTGCTCACACACTCTGCTATGCTACAGCGGTCGTCTATGCTAAAGCTAGTTAGCACAGCTTCAGCTAAGCTAACTAGCTTAATCTACAGTATTGTTTTTTCCACTGAAATCTGCTTTGAACCCCTTTATAAAATCAGGGTGATTTCAGAAATAATCTACATAAACTGAAGTTGGTGTTTTTAGGTGTGAATACTTTTGGACGCCTCTACACCTGATGCTAGAAGTCGTAGCATTGGTCTGGTGTTTTTTCCTCAGACTCCTCCGATCGTTAATCTTTCTGTCGGTACTAATCTTTTTCCATCAACTATAATTTTTCAACAGCATTCAACCGTCTCTCTCTGCTATGTTTCTCTTCTCCTTTGATCTAACATTTATTTTTATTATCCCTTTTCCCCAGGATAGCCTGACTTGCTTCCTTCCTCCGTGGACTTTAACAAAAACTTTTTTCTTTTTTTTTTTTTTATCACCATGTTGCTTCGCCTCTCACAGTTTCAGTCCCCAGACCCTGCGTGCGCCCAGGGCTCTTATTAATTACCATAAAGTCCTTTTGTCAAAACAAAAGTGGCCCCGGCTCTCGGCAGAGCGCTCCCCTTGTGTTAGCTGCGCTCCTGCTACAAACGCTGTTAAGTCGTCTCCCATCCAGTCGCTGCATCAAAAACTCTCTGTCGTCTGCGCTGCGGCCTCCCATCACATCTGTCTTCTCTCTGCTTCCAAGATGGCCGCTCTCACGCCCCACCAAACATCCGTAGAGATGACTCCAGCTTACGTTTGAAGGCTTGTTTGGGTAATGAGAGCCAAAGTAAACTCGCTCTTAGATCAGATGACGAGCAAATGTGTGCAGCCTCCACCGGGAGCGAGGAGGGTGTGTGATCCCGGCTGCTCCTCTGGGAGTTCACGTTCTGCTGCCAGCTATTTGTTCTCCGTGAGGTTAACTGCATTAATCATAAGTGATAAACACAGCTGATTGGAAATGCTGCGCCTCAGAGAGTGTTAATGTATGTTAATGATGTGAGCCGCTGGTGGATGCTCAGAGACACCGCCATCTCATCACCTGTGTTGCAGCTCTGACGTAAAGGTTTTCAGCGTTTTATCGGAATCTGCTTGAGATGAAATGAGCTTTAATTTGAAATTAGTTTGTAAAAGTAACAGGGTTTTATTGCATTTACAACATCAGGTATTCCTAAAGAACGACCCAGATTTGTTGGCTTAAAAGTGACTTTAAAAATAACCTTTAAGGAGGTATTAAGCATACTTTTCATTACAAATCTTTTTTTTGTTTTTGTTTTTTTACTGGTCTGATGTATTATTCTAATTTTAAATGTGAAGTTTTCATTACATATGAATGGGAAATGACTGACAGTGCAGCGTGAAAGAGAACCTGCTGAAAATGTAGCAAACGTTACAATTTTGGTGGAAACAAATCTAGTCTCGTTAAGTTTTCATCTTAAACATAAGGTGCTGCATCATCTTTTTTGTGCAGGATATTATAAGCCTGGTGGGCCACCAGGCTTTATTTACGACCCCACCAGGCTAAGCATTGTTTACTTATTCGGTATTTTTATGTTCACCTTTTCTAAGACTTTATAGTTGCTGTTTGGGTTTTGTTAATGTCTTCCACCAACACGTTTACAATTACCTAACCATACTTTCAAATTTCCTGTCAACTTTGAACATTTTTCAACTCAAAAGCACGATGGGTTGCTGGATGACTGCCCCAGCGCCCCACCCGCCAGGCTGAGCAGGTTTTCTGGGGGAAACACTGTTGTGTGTTGCACAAATTCCACCAAATTTACCCCAAACACCTTATTCCACGTGTTTGGGGTAAACTGGCAGGTTTGTAGTCATTTCATCCTCAGAAATGCATTGAGATGTAAGATGTTCAGAACTTAGGATATAGTTCTGTAGCCAAACCCGGCTTCAAAGCCCAGCTTCATCCCTGACATGTTCGTTGAGACGTCCCACTTGATGCGCTGTTAAGAAAAGTTATTCCTGTCTGTGCAAATGTCTGATGATCCGTCTCCGTAGCTTTAATATAAATTGTTTATTTTTAGTAAAAACTAAAGTTTGTGTTTGTTAAACCAAGAAGGAATTGAACAACAAAGGACAAAATGAGAAGGAAGTGAACCGGGTTGGGGGAGCCCGAAGGACTGAAACTGTGATGCTCCAGCTAACCAAAGCAACAGAATGCAGCAGAAAGGAAGAATGTCAGATCAAAGAAAATTTATTTAAAAAAAAAAAAGAAGAAAAAAGCAAAAGCAGTCAGCAGCTGCATCTTACCAGACTGTCCTGGAGGAGGGATGCCGCCAGAGCCTCTGGGTAACCGTACAAATATGGAGAGCACGGCGGCTTTGTTGCCAAAGCAAGGCTCAAGGGCGATGGGTTTTGGAACGGACTGTGGAAAGAAAGAGGGGAAAAAAAGAGCGTTACACATCACTAGCCGGCTAAATCTGAGCGATCACAGAAGCTTTGCTGCTACTGTTCTCATCTGTGTCAGCAACAAGCATGACAAAAAAATGCTATTTATTCTCAGCAGAGATAAACAAACAGATTCGCAATCACACATTGGACCCACCGCTCCCCTCCACCCACACTGAGCTCAGCGCAGTCAGCCGTCTGCGCATCGGCTGCATTTACGTCGGTGTTCTCCAGTCACCGCAGGCTGGGTGACACACCTGACTCTCTAAAAACCAATATCTCCTGTTTATCAGCATCTCATCCATATGTGGAGATGAGTCTGCTCACACACACACACACACACACACACACACACACACACACCCCCATCCTCCTGTAAACACTGTCCTGGATCCGCCGCGGCTCGCCTCCTGCAAAATTCATGGCTTTACCTGGACGAACAGAGTGTGGGCACAGAGGCCGCCGCTGCAGCATACCGATAACTTTTCTACGTCTCGTTGGCTTTGTGTTTTGAATTTGCGAAGGCCGTTGTGAGAAACTGGGCCATGACACGGTTACACACACCACTGACACCGTCCAGAACGCAGCAGGCTGGTTTTTATTCCCCACTGAGTCGGGTTCAATCCCCCAAGAGGGAATGCCGCTGGAGTTTCAGTTGGTGTTTCCGTACAGTGTTGCACAGGTTCATCATAACTCATCTCTGTCATTGTAACGGACACACACACACACACACACACACACACATTACAGCGGTAGTAGTTATTCAGGCTTTGACCCATTTTACGCATTTATTCTCTGCTCCATCTCTCCACGCCGCAGCTTTCATACGCGGCGGCCGTCACATGGATGAGGCGTAAAGACCCCGAGGCGCTTGTGTGTAGATTCACTGCGTTGTAGCACAGAGACGTCTTTCTTCCAATATAATGTGTGTCTCTATGCTAAAGTATGGAAGTGTTTAACTACCAGAGTTTGGAGATAAATTCAGGAGAAATATCTCGTTTAAACCAGGAAAGATTCTCGTTACGACGATTAAAAAGAAACTCGATGTAATGAGAATTATACATCATTAAAACCAAAATATCTTCCCTTAAAAATGAGAAAGGTCGCAACAGTAAAACAGCAGAACCTCTTGGAAGGTTTAGGAGAGTCACAGCGAGCCGGTTTATGCCTTTTAAAAAGTCCTAATGGTAAACGGTAAATGTCTTGTACCTGTATGACACTTTATGAAGTCCACATTACTTCACTCTACGCTCAGTCATTCGTCCATTCACACACTGTGATCTGTTAGGAGTGTATTTTTATGTCTTAAGATGGGAAAGTTCTCGTTCTAATGAGATAAAATTTGTCTCAATAAAATGGGAAAGTTCCTTAAAAGGGGAATCTTTCTCGTTGTATTATAATCCATTAATCTAATTGAACGTGTTGCAGTTCCAGCCCTGGTTTAAATGTGTTGACGTGTTTGGCTAAAATGTGACCAAATTTGCAAATAAGTATTCTCTCACACAGATTTCTTTGTTCCCATTTCTTCTGGATTTTACAGAAAAAGGAACTTTGTGGGAATTTGAATAAAGTCTCAAATTCCTTCAAGTTAATGCTTATGTTGCTGCAGACTTGAAGGAACCCAATAACAACAGGATCTGAACACACATTCCCATCTTTCTCATGATCCTGGGCTCATCTGAGCCCAGACTGCATCATGCCCTTAAAGTGTGCGTTCACACCTTTAATCAATATCCAGTTCATTTGCCTAGAAAGCCCGGTTCGTTTGAGGAGGTGTGAATGCAGAATCAAACTCATCAAAGCAAACGCTAGTCTGCCTACAAACCTCGGCCTCGGTTCGGTGGAAATGAACTCTGGTGCGGTTCGAACGCCAAGTGGACCAGAGATCGCTCTAAAACTTCTGAGGCTTCTATGTCGTTTCCCTCAGTAGTTCTCGGGGCAGCGCCACCACAGGCGAGGAGGTGAACAGCTTCTTCAATTAGTTTGGATACATAGCAAAACGTAACAAATGTTGGTTTCCCAATCGAGTCTATCGGACCATCAGATGTGAAAACACCTTAAATCCATGTCGACTAAGTAGCTCAACAATATGATTTCAGACATTAAGGAGAGTTTTTTTTCATGTTTTTTTTTGTTCTCCTTTTACATCCAGGAGAAAATTAGGCCATTTAAAAAAGCTAAAGCCTGTGAACAAATCCCCTGAAGGCATTTTTTGCATAAAAAAAAGACACTAACATTACAGATTCTTTGTCAAATAATGGCTCCCGTTTTTTTTTTTCTTGCTCATGAGTAATTGCAGAGTGATTGCAGTAAGCTGCTGGGAACTTCTGTTGTCATGAATCTTTGAACAAAGACACTTCTTAACAACTTGTGTATGTCTCTCCATACCCGTCTCGGAGCTCGAAACACTTTTGAGCTGAGCCGGTGCGCACACGCGGCCCCGCCGTCTCCCCAGGAGCCGACAGAGGTCAACAGTTCAGCTGCAGACAAATGGGCTCCTGCAGGGATGGAAGCTCGGTCCAAGCAGCGCTCGGAGCCGCAAAAGCAGGCGGATATTAAAGTCGGCCGCTGCTTCTCGGCCCCCGATGTGTGGAAATTTTATAAATAAATGATTTGACGACGTCCTGACTTGGAGAAATGAGCCTGAATAAAGTAAACAAATAACTTCAATTAAGAAGCGGGTCGCCGCTTTGTTTTATTTTCTTTCCATCTCCAGCTTCCACTGGGTCGTCTTTTATTTTGCTCTTGTCAGGTTTATTTAAACTGGCTGACCTGGAGACGCTGGACAGGACGTGGTTTATCCTGCAACCTTTGAGTCAGAGAAGGAAAGATTTGGAACCAACTCATCAAAAATGGAAACACAGCTCCATCTTCCATTTAATGGTTTTCATTAAAGAAAAACATTTTGTTCCCTTTTACTGATGGTCTTTCACACACTGCCTCTCACTGTGGTTTGGAGGAATTTCCTTTGGCCTTTTTAACAACATTAAATGGTCATTTAGAAGCATGAAATAGATGGATGGAATAACCCGAAGTCGATGAAAATGATTATTTGATGCTGTAGCATCTCTGCAGGAAAAATCCAACTCCTAAAGAGCTACCAATTCTGATTGGCTCAGAGGTCTTCTGAGAGGAAACAAAACTTTTTTTTAACCCGCAAAACTTTACAATCCCAAGTTTTACAGAATATGAAATAAGAAGAAATATTCCAAGGTCAAATATTTTACTTTCATTGGAAATGAATTAATTTGTATTTCTGCAAAAATGTATTAGAAATGCTAAGAAGACTGACATTTCTTTCCACCTCTATCTGACAGGAAAATCAAAAGGGCTAAGAAGGTTCGTCTATAGTACAGTTCTTGAATAAAAACGCTTCTATTAACAAAATCACTCCGTTTTTTTCCAATGTGTTTGAAAAGAACACCAGGGCCACTTAACATGACTGTAAGTCACAAGTACAGGGTTCATTCTCACTTTTAGAAATATCATTAGTTCTCCAAAGTTCTCAGCAACTTTTCTACTATTTTTTAACAGACAGATGGTAATATGGATAGATGATAGTATGGATGGATGACAGGATAGATGGTAGTATAGGTGGATGGATGGAGGGTCTGGTAGACAGCACAGATGGATGTAATCATTGATAGATTGATAAGTAATAGTTGTATGGATGGAACTGGTGATGAAAGGAAGGATGGACAAATATGTGGACTACATTAATTAATGGATGCATAACAAAAGAATGCATGATGATTGTATTCAGTTATAAAACCCACCATGCAGGCAAGTCATTCATATTTACTGACAGTCGAGTAACAAGAACAAAAATCTTGTTTCCATTTAGCCTCAGGTTTTGTAATCTCCCAGCTGGCTAATTTTGTTTCAAAAGTGGAAGTATTAAACCGGATCCTACCAAAAAATAACAAACCCGGCTTGTTTAGGTTGCGTCTCCAGGCCCGGGTTGGCCTTGGGTTACACATACATCTCACTTTACCGTCTTTACACTAGAAAAATAACGAGCTGTGTCTGATCACACCAACGAACCTGCACACCTTGTGGAATAAAGCAAAGGTGGAGAGGCTGACGCATTTTAATTTCACAGTTTAGGACTGTTTTAATGCTCGTCTGCCAAACCCCATTTCCACTGCACTGTGTACATGTACCCATCGCATCCCCTCATTCACGACATCAGATATGCACATGGGAGATGAAAAGATCTGGAAGATCATATCTGGAATCAGAGGAGACTTGTCAGATGGTGTGGGATTACTTTCCCTTCAACAGGACATGCAAAGCACTCGTCACCACACAACCAGAAGTTCAATTTCCACCTGAAACTATGAGACAGGCGGCTCACATTTGTATTTGTTAGAAAAAACAAACCTCTGCATCCCCTTTTACACACACGTTTTATCTTCAGTGTGGGGCGGATCAAACCCAGAGAAAATTCAATTACCTGCTGGTTTTAAATTCTCTGTGCCGGCTCTTTCTCTTTAAGATGTTTCCCCAAAGGTAGAGTCTTTTCCGGTGGTCCTGTATCTTAATAGCATTCCCCAGCAGATGCCTTTGTTTTATAGGATTCCAGCCCGCCACTCGCAAGTCGCCACCCCCAACATCACCACTCTGGAGACTTATCTAGACCGGCCAGGCAGAGCGGCGAAAGGTTTTGTTAAATTACCTTCAGTAATTAGCCCAGCAGCACGTGGGATCGCTGCTGAGCCTACACACACACACACACACACACACATTTATATTGCTATCTTTGTGGGGACTTTCCATTGACTTCCATTCATTTCTACAGCCTAAACCTTACCTTTACCCTTTTCCTAACCCTAACCATCACATACCTAACCCTAACCCTAACCAAAACTCAATTCATACCTTAGCCCTAAATCTGACCCCTGACCCAAAAACAGGGTTTCCCCTTGTGGGGACCAGGCTCCGGTCCCCACGAGGAGCAATTGGTCCCCACAACGT